TTAAAAAAGAGAAAGAGTAAGAAATTCATTCCGTATCAAATAGAACTATTACGAGTGTATTGTTAGAAAAATATAAAAATTATACAAATGTAAATTATATTGTTATTTGGCGATGCGCGCCATTGGTAGTTTAAAAGAGCAAAGTTACAAAATTGCGAGCCGATTGGTGGAGCCGCTCAGTGGCATCTACCCCTCCTTTTATGATAAAAAAAGCAATAAATATAAGAGCTTCGCCACATTATTATAATTCATCGAGATTTCTCGACATTGTTAACGATTTTTAGCAATCGATCACATTATAAATAAATTGACCAATTCATTCGTTTTATATTATGTCGTATTTTATTATCAATGCTTTATAATTCATCATTACGTCACATTTAAAAGATAAAGAAATGGTAAAGTATGTATAATAAATATCGACTGACATACTACATAATAAGATCCTTTTTTCATCATTATTTACTTAGTCTCAAAAACCAAGAGATATGAAATTTTATTACAATATCCGAAGCTTTTATACATTTCATAAAAATGATTCTTTACAACGATTCTTATAAAATTTACAATTATGAATTAATTATCTTTTACGCTGAAAAATGAGATCGTTCAAACTCTATTATAAATAATATAATAATGTATCGAGTAGCTTCATAATTGTAAATTTTTGTTTATTTTCAGCGTAAACGGTAATTGAAAATGTAGAATATAATTATCATTATAGTTATAAATATAGATAACAGAGATCATAAATCTAGGCAACAGAGTTAATACAATAATTGTTTACTGCTTTCATCGCTACTAGAGTAGTTATAAATTAATAAATCCACCTCTAAATGCATTTCAACGGATAAATTTGCCATTGTTTATCGATCCTACTCTGATTTTACTATGTATTACAAAGTGCACTAATTGATAAAATTGCCCTGGTAATATTGTCACTATAATTACACTTAGGGTAATAGAATTCGATAACATACACGAAAGATTAATATTATTTTAATTTTATCATTTGGATATTAATGGATGTTATGAAATACATATACATTTACATATATATATATATATATATATATATATATATAACAATAACAAAATTAATAAAATAATAAATATCTATATAAAATTGTTAAATTGAATTTAAAAATTTGAGAATAAATTTTTATTTATGCTTAAAAACTGTCTAGTATTACTGAACTATAATATAGTACGTACATTTCATTACATTTTACATAAAGTACAATAAGAATTTTATCAATATTATAACCATTTAATAAAAAATAGTTATTTATATGTAACGGGAGTTTAAAAACTGCTTATAAAGTATTGGTTACTTCATTCTTTCGATATTTAATGTCTAATTATTTATTAGTGATTCAATTCTTTATCAAAAGTGTATTCATATTATTAATATTCTTATTATTAATATCATTTCAATTTGCGACGACGAAAATAATATGAGTCATTAGTCTGAAATAGTTTACGTTGGTTACATAGGAATCTAAAAGATAAATAAATAAGAAACAACAATTAGAAACTAAATTGAAATATAATTCTAGGGACTTTTTTTACTTAATTAACAATTTAAATTTTCTATTATTAATAATTTTTTATTTTAATAATTTTACGTTTACTTATATTTATCATCAAAATTAAGATTTTAATATCTAAACACAAAATCTTCCCTGTTTCTTATTTAACTGTAGGTTCATCTTCTGCATTTACTCATATACCTATTTATCCTCAGAGCCCCTTTATTATTATCTTTATATCTTTATAATAATTAATTAATTTAATAATGTGTTTGATAATAAAGTTTAATATGGTACTAATAAAGCATATTTTTAATTGAATTTTGCATAATTTTGATAATTTTTTTTATATTCATCTTTTTATTCTACTAATTTAATTAGTATTTTAATACCCATAATAAATATTAAGTTTCATCTGTTTTTCTGCAATTTTTTCGTCTTCAATATTGACAAATAATAGAAAATTAAACGTTTGAAAATTATTTTAAATCATAGGATTAATTTTTAATTACCAATATATATGTAAATTATTTCGAAAACATAGTAATCATTTTATATTCGGTATTCTCAGAATTAACTTGTTCACTAATTATTTTGATTTATTCTATGTTCCTTTAAAGAATTTGTATTGATTTCTGACTAATTTTATTATATCAATATTTGGATTTTAGAATTTTAGAATTTCTGCATAAATACTCAAATATTATAGTCGATACAATAAATCGTATAATGAATGACGTATATTCGATCGAAAAAATATTAAAACAAGCAAGTATAATGGGTATAATTTCATTTTTTTTTTAATTTTATTTGTAAACAACTTATCCATAATTATTTAATTAAAATTCAAAATCATAAAAATTTTCAATAGAACCTCGCACGAATGATAGTAATTATTGTATTGTAGTTATTCCAGATCATACTTGTGGTTTTATTCTTTCTTGATTCTTAATCAACATCTTCTCTTAATATAATATACATTATATTAATATATATATATATATATATATATAAATCAATTCTAGGTACAAATACAACCAATATAAAATATCTTTATTCAAACCTTATTTATTAACCGATACATTTGTAATTCATGTATCAGATAATTGAATGTGACCATTTGTCATTTGATTTTCTATTCCATACTATTTTTCTAAATAATTCAACAGGCATCGTGTGCATTCGTATCGTAAAATTCTTAAAATTATTTTGTTGCTTTATTCATTTAGATAGATATTTTATTTCCATAATGATTTGCAATATAATTTTTTACAAAAAAAAGTAATTGCATGCCAAAAAAAAGTGGATTTACTGTGCTCGAACTATCAACAATTTTTTACTCGATTAATAGCACAAAAAATACTCATGCTTGACTATCATCGGAGATCATATATTTCAAAAATTTTATTTACTTTATTTTTTCTATTTTTATTTTTGTAACTACGTATTTTGAAAATTCTAGATATTATTACAAACAGCTGTCTTTGACATATACATATTTTTAAGATCATAAGACCGCGTTGACATCGATAGCTCTAGATAAATGCACAAATCCACAAAATATATTAACACTTTTTATCTAATCTCAAGAGGCCCATTGTAAGTACTGATTGATAGTAAATTTTAATTGTATCGTCTATGGGCAAACATGAAGATGTATTTTGAAACATCAGCGACACTTTTTTCTAATATTGAATGTAAAGTTAGATATTTCTCTAACAGCAATGAAAATAAATTATCATTTATAAATTCTTTATTGTTATTTTTATTGATAAAGATATTTGATCGATGTAGTAATTAATTTATGCAATAATAGATTAATTGATTTATTTACTTGTTTATTTCATTGATTAATCTACAAAAAATATAATTTTCAGAATTTTAAACTGTGAAGATATTAATTTTTTTTTTTTATATTTTATTATAATTAATTCCGATAAGAATTTCATTAAGTATTTTGATTTACTTATATATGATTTACCCAAAATTCATATTGAAAGATATTTTTACCATTTAGAATATATATATATATATATATATATATATATATATATATATATATATATAAATCAAAGATATCTTATAGAATTTTATTATTATATATAATATTAAATATTTTAATATATAGAAATCATTATCATCGATATTTAAAATAAAGTTTGTAAGAAAATCTAATCTATATAGAATAATATAATTACATATTCTTAATTATGGTCAGATCTTATATGTTTTATATAAACTTATAAAAATTACTTTTCCTTTGAAATAATATTTTTATCACTTATATGTAGTAAAAGTATAACATATTTAAAAAGACTTTATCCCAGTTTCTAAATATAGAATCTTACATATAAAAATTTATATAAAAATGTATATACTTTACGTCAATATAAGTAAGTATACTAAAAAAAATATTGTAAATAATTTATATTGTTTCAAAATCATAAATCAATGTGTGTCAATATCTTTCGATATATCAAATCTTTTCTACAAGATACTTGCCTTTAAGTTAAAAGTAATGAAGAATCGAGAAAAAAATACGGAATACATTAAATTTCTGCGGAGTTCCAAAATTCAAGAACCTTGAAACGCAGAAACTCAATTCTACCATTAGTCAATGAGATAAATGATTAGAAATTAAAACAATGGCGCCGTACACTTGCATCTTCCTTAATATAGTAAAAAAATATAATACAACTATGCACACCTAAATCCATATCTTTTAAGTCATTTAACATAGGATTATTAACAATTTCTTTTCAGCCTTTATTAAATTTTATAAAATTAATTTTTATAACAAAATATAATTTATATATCAAATACTTTCAAATGCCTTAATTATTTCTATGTTCCATTATTTTTAATTTAATAGGTATTTTTAATTATTTAATACTAATAATTTTATAAAGATATAGTAATATAAATAAATAATAATCATAAAATGCTACTACTCTTATTACTTATATTTATTTTTATTTTATAATATAAATTCCTATGGTCCTATATTTATGTATTAACATAAGTCGTACAGCAAATTTATTACTACCTGAAAATTATTACTATCTAAAAATATATAAACTACATATTGCATGAGATAAGATAAGTGTTTTAAATCCGTAGAAAGTTCAACACCATCAGAACAAACTAACTTTATACATTATACTCGCCCGGATGAAATAATCTATAGTAGAAATACACACGCGCTTGTTGTCACGTCTCCGAGAACCGTGTTTTGTGACGCTCTTTTTATCTCTCTCTCTCTCTCTCTCTCTGTCTCTCTCTCTCTCTCTCTGTCAGAATTTATTGAAGTTAAAAATCACTGGATGGAAGCTTTGCATCATTATGTACTGACCTCGACGTACTAACTGCTCACTGGAGCGCTCGCGTGAGTATTGGATTTTTATTTAATTAAAATAATATACATTTTGTTATTTTTATGAAAATAATTTAAATTCTGCCATCTTGTAGGTACAAATTGTGTAAAAGAAAGTGTATGACATTGTGAAGTTTCTTACATTATATTAAAGTACGCATTAAAGTAAATTTCTATTAAGTGCAGAAAGCTAAGGAATATTAATTAATTAAATGATAAATAATTGCAGTATTGATTTTTAAAATGTTGAATGAAAAATTGTAATAAAAAAAACCTTAATTCTATGTTAAGTTGAATATAAAGTTTTTTTAATCTTCTTTTAAGATAATTTTTTTTTTATTAATGAATTAGTACTTTGTTTGAGAATGTGTTAGTTTTACTTAGAATTCGAAGCTTCTAAAATTAATATAATCTTTTACATAAATATTAAACATTATGGTGATAAAATTACGTGTGATTAAACGTGTGATTTTATTCGGAACACTAGCAATGATAAAATAAGTATTCATTAAGATCGATTAAATATCTATTTTTATTTTTATCGACACAATTAATATACGACAACGTTATTCATACAATTTTCAGTAATCAGCGAGAAAGTTTTACATATTGGAATGATAATGATTTGATTATATGCGTAATTAGTGAGTTTTCTAAAGTATATGGTATCTGAGATATTTGGATAATCATAATATTGAAATGGTATCTAAAATGAATAAGTAAAGTGGCGCTCGATAACGTTGGACCGATCACATCTACCGAATAATTGCAAATAAAATAAATCGTCGTGGATGATCAGTCACTCAAATTCTAATCTCCTCCATAAGACTTACGGTAACGATTACAATTTGAATAAGGGAGAATTAAGTGAAATAGTCATATCGAAAGTCTCGTGTATTAAGAAAGATCCCACCAAATAAGAAAAGTTATTGTCTTGGGCCATTATTTGTATACAATTGAAAGCCCAGCATTGGTAAGGTCATCTGTGAATTTGAAATAATAAAGCGCTCTTGTTGCATATAGAGAAGAAGCGGCCGGGTTTATTTAGCCAATGAAGGCAGAGGTAAACTCAGAGTATGAAGCTACCCAAGGTAGAATTCGCACCGCTACACGTGCCCTTGGAACGGAGACTCCAGACCCTCGCAGCTGCCGCTTGGTTCTTCGTCAGCGCGTTCGGTGGTCCACTCTCCTGGTGCGTGACAATCCTCACTTTACTATTCGGACGCCAGTGGTTGAGGATCATCTTCGTCTGCTACCTCCTCTTCGCTTACTACGATCAGGACACGCGACTCAACGGGGGCCGAAGGTAATGTGCTGCATTTGGAATCTAAAACCGTCTGCTATGTCGCTCGCATTCCATCCGAAGGATACGCGCACCACGTGTTTTTACGATTAAGTCGTCTCGAAAAGTATAGCGACACTGCGTTTTATTCATTCATGATGCTCTAACGTTTATGTCATCGCGTAAACAACTGAACGTAATCGCCGTAAATTTATGCTTACGCAATAAGCTACCGTTCTTAAGGCAACTGACGAGAATATATCGATGAAATATTTATTTCGTTCTTTGCGTTACATTATAATCAGACAATTTTGTAAAATTTTTGTAATGCATTAAGATACGTTGAACATTGTCTAACTAAAGATAGCTCGATTTCATTCATTTATCGGACTTTTGTTCAAACGGTCGATGTACGTTAATTAGTAATTTTTAAACAAAAATTAATTTAATAATGAACGGAAATTAGAAATAAATAAATAAATAATTGATAAACTTGTTGGTAAGTAGTGAATTTGTTTAACCATGCGAAATGATTATCGTCAATCGTTTACGGAAATTTCTATTTATCAGAATTGAGAATAATTAGATATTTGATCATATTAGATGATGTCTTATCATTAAAATTTATTATTCCATATTATCCGCTATCTAACCTAACATTACTTTCATTACGTACGTACGTATTACAATGCACCGAAATATTTTTTGGAAATTCACTTTATCAAGTTTTGATACTCAATAGATTATCAGCAATTGAAATTGACTTACAGAATAAAAATTGTTTTAATTCTTTATATTATTTTCCAACATTTTTACAATCATACGAATAAAAAATATTAACCCATAATTAAGTTAATACTCAAATAAGAATGCGATTTTATAAATCATATTTTTTCATAAAGTGTTTCTACAATGACAAATTATATAATTTTATTATTATTGATTTAAAGTAAATTTTAGATTTTTTAAAATACTTAATTAAAATATGTGTAAAAACAGACAAATTTTCATCTTCAAATGAATGAATTATATTTATTATATGAACTTGTATAAAAAGATGATACGTATAAAATAAAAAAAATTCTTAATAATATAGTGATTAATCATGTGAATGGTCTTTCCATTGATCCAAAATGATTTATAAATATTTTTAACAAATAAAACAATCATTATGGATATACATACTCTAGATATTGAGCAATTTGTTTATACGATGTAAAATAAATGATATCTTAAAAATAATGATATAAAATATAATCTTATCACGAGAAGGTCACAAAATAAGTAGCTGATAATTAAAAAGAAAACAGAATATATTAAGTGCCTTACAACAATTACATAAAATAACAAATATAATAATTTATTTTCTCCGTTGAAAAGTTCATTTTCACAAGATATAATAATCAAATATGAAGGTTGAAAGATACTGTCATTTTAGCAGTTATAATTTAACAATTAGATCAATGTTTTTAATCGTTTACAGCACCAACAGTTCTATATTTCACTTATTTATATAAATTTATATATATAAAAACAAAAAAAAAAAACAAAACAAAAATTCTTCAAATTTATGTTTCCTAATGTATACTAAATATTACATTAAATAAGTAAGTATATTTATAAAATAAAAAATATGCAATTTTTAGTTTTGTTTTACAAATTATATATTTATAAAAATTAACATCTTAATGAAAAATCATTTGCTCGGCACAGTCTTCTATATTAACTCATATAATTATTAACGCACTTCAATAAAAATTCATATAATTTTATATTATCATTTTATAAAGAATTCAAGTCTAATCTTCTGAATTATAAATACGTACAAATATTGTTCTAAGCTAACATTATTGTTAAAAATATATATTACTTAGATTTATCATTAACAATTTACATGCAAAATCTTTAATTCATAAGGTAGTACAAATTCTATATATATATATATATATATAAACCAATAAACACTCGTTTATAATTGAAAATAAATAGTTTTTATAATAAAGAATTTAAACTACAGTTATTTTATTTTCTAACTTGTCGGTATTTTATAAGTGTACAACTAAAATTTTATTCTACCATTGTTTAGTAAAATTTAATACTACACTTTTGTTTCTTACTTAAAAAACTTGAAACTTGTGTGATCTTATGTTCGAAAATTTATTTTGATAAGTAAACTATTATTTGATAAGTAAATTATTGGCTCATTTGATTATCTATTATTATGATTATCTAATATTTAAACAATTTTTCTCAATATTCTATTTATTTTAAAATGTCTAATTTTTAACAAAATTAAAAATATAAAAATTACTGTAACAATACTTGTAATTTATATAGTGTAAAATTCATGTTTAATATAACTAAATGTTATATTAAATGTGATCTGAAATACTAAACTTTATCGTAACTCTACTTAAAGCCCTGAAAAATGCTATTTAATTACTATAAAGTTCTATGGGTTTTAAAACGAATTGACAATTCATAAAAATTACACTTAAAATTCGATTGTTGCAGTAATATAACAAAATAATTAATCCTATTAGAGGCAATCTACACACTTGGATAAATCTTTAAAACTGTATGAACTTTACATGAAATAATATAATATAATAAAACACAATATAATATAATATAATAGATAAAATATAATAATAGCCTGATAAATGAACGCAATTGCATTTACAGTAGCTTGTAAGAATTTAAAATTGATTAATTTTTTTCAGGAAATCATTGTATTTGCGATTTAGGAATTTTATATGGTGGCATTACTTCTGCAATTATTTTCCTATTAAAGTAGTAAAAACTGTTGATCTTGATCCAACGAGAAACTATCTTTTTTGTTCATTTCCACATGGTGTTTTAGCAACTGGCGTGACCGGTGCTTTTGCAACAAATGGTATTAACTGCGCAAAAATATTTCCTGGATTGGATTTTAGACTTTTAACACTCGACCAACATTTTCAAACGCCACTCTTTAGAGAATATGTTTTGAGTTTCGGTACCTATCGCTTTCATAATCAAATTAAATTTTTCTATTCATTAATACCAGTTGACTTAAAATCGTAAAAATTAGGCGTATGCAGTTGTAATGCAGAAAGTATAAATTATCTTTTATCGACAAAACCAACGGAAAATGATGGGCCCACCGAAGATCCGGTGCAAGGACGAGCTGTTATCCTAATTGTTGGTGGCGCTGCAGAAGCTTTGAAGTCCAAACCACATACTTACAATATATTGGTGAAAAAAAGAAAAGGTTTCGTGAGGATCGCACTGAAAAATGGGTTCGTAATTAACATTATTTTTCAATACTTTCTGTTTTTTTCTCAATAACAAATTAACTCAATATTTATCGAAAAATAAATTAATTAATTAATATTATATCAAATTTACACGTAATAATAAAATGGAAATATTAATTACGTTTTAGAGCACCACTAGTACCAGTTTTCTCATTTGGAGAAACGGATCTTTACGATCAGTTCCATAATCCAGAAGGATCTCTTTTAAGAAAGTGCCAAGATTTTATAAAGAGAGTTACAGGAATCGCACCAGTTATTCCAATCGGTCGTGGCTTCTTTCAATACTCATTTGGTTTAGTACCGAATAGAAAACCAATTCATGTAGTAGGTACGTGCAGTAATTAACTTAAAATTTTTAATTTAGTGTCATAAAATTATAAATTATTTTATTTTATTAACAATAATAAATTTATTTCGTTGTTATAGTGGGAAGTCCTTTAGAGATTCCAAAAATAGAAAATCCAACTAATGAAGACGTTGATAAATATCATACAAAATTTACTGAAAAACTTATCGAACTATTTGAAATACATAAAAGTAAATATATAAAAGATTATGAAAATGTTTTCCTAATCTTAGATGATAAATAGTACGATTGATTATTTTTCTCATATTGAAGCTTGTACGATGTACAAAAAAATAATTTAATAAATATTATTCTATACGTAAGTAACTTTAGGATATTAAGATTTCGACAAAATATCAGAAATTAAAGTAAATTATATTGTACGTAAGGGGAATTGAATAGAATAAATTAATTGTATATTTTTATAAGTGATTGAATTTGCTAAAAGTTATTTCAGATTTATTTAATGACGATTGAACAAGTAATTTCCGAGAATACCAAATACAAAATTATTAATATGTTTTTCGAAAGAATTTAAATGCATTGGTAATTAATAATTAATCCTATGGTTGGAAATATAATCGTAGTCTAGTGTTATAATAATAGATTAAATGAACCATAAGAACAAGAGAAGGCTTTATTGTAATTACAATAACACATACGAAAAGTATATTTTTTATCTGTAATAACAAGTTTAAAATAATGTGACTTACTTGATAGATTTTTTGATATTTTTGATATTAATCTAAATAAGAAAGAATTAAGTAGTAGTATCTATCGATATATTATAAGTATCATATATATGAAATATATATATATATATATATATATATATACTGTATATATTCTGTATACATTCTGTAATATTTTTTACGTAATTATATTAGAAATAGATATATTATCAATTTATACATCTTATTTATTATTTATATTATTTATTCGTTATATATAGTATATGTTAATTATAATTTATGGTTTTAAATATTTTAACAAATATGTTTGTTTATCGATTTAATGTTATAGTCTGCGAAAATATTTCGTTCGCTGTAAATTTATATACGGATAATGTACAAAAAATATGTATAAAATATTTTTTTATATAAAAATGATTAATAATTAATATTTTAATATGTTTGTATGCGTATGCATGTGGGTGGGTCCGTATATTTATTCTTAATATTTAAAAGTTTTTAAATTCATTATAAACTTTTGCCATCGTATTTATTTAGAATTAGAATTTCTTGATGAAATAATAATTATTAAATATACATAAAAAGTTAATACTTAAGAATACCATAACTTCTATTAAATAATGTAAATCGTAATTTTCTTCAATAATAATTATTATAATTAATTTTAATTAGTTATATAATTAAATTGCGGTAGATATTTGAAAATTTTATTAGCATGTGATAAATGTCTAAATGTTAGAAATTCCTAGATTATGTCAAAAGGCAATTCTTAATTTACATTTGTTCGGTAAAAAAATTATGCAAAAATATATTCTATTGAAAAATATAATATCATATATTAGTAATTGTCATAGTTATTAGAACGGCAAAAACAATAGCTCCAGTACAAACTGCAGTTGTATTTAATATCTGTAACAATGATTAATAATTCAGTATTTATCAAAATATCATTAATATTGTAATGCAATTGAATCAAAATTCGTTAAATTTAAACTCACCTTATCTTGCCAGGCTTTATTAGAAATGCAGTCTCTATATCTCATTCTCGAGAACGTAACTGTACTATACAGCGGTATCCAGTTTTTTGGAAATAACCACTGGAGAACTGTATCTATATATTTACGAAAAATAAAGGCTTTCTTCGTTACCAATTCACGCATCTGTAAATATATTGTATAAACGTGTAAAAACTTGTCAAACATAAAAATAATATTGAAAATTTAAGTGCAGAGTAATTATGAAAAATATGTACATTTTGTAATTTAAATAAATTTTTTTTTACATCTAACGACAGATATGAAATCGCTATAATTTATTATTGTTTTTAAATAAAATTTATACCTCAACGTAATTATACATAGCTAAATCACAAATAGCATAGCAATCATCACACCGTATTTCAGAAAAATGTGGAAGAACTTTTTCCAAGTTATCATTATGAATTTCCATTAGTTTATCCAATAATAATACATCTTCAAAACCCTAAAATAATTACTTTTAATTATATCTATAGTGCATACATAATATGATATCTTAATAATTAATCCAAAATAAATGTTATAATGAATATAAAATAATCTATAATGTATAATATAATAGAAATGCACGCAAATACTTGTAATAGATTAATAATATGTAAATTTTATGTTTCGTTACAATACAATTTTAATGAAATATTCTAAATAGAATTTTTATATAAAAGAATTATAATTACTGATGTGACAAATGAAATAGCTATAATAGAAGCTTTTTATGTCGGTTGCACATGGGCGCAAATATATATTGGTGATATATGCCTGTCGATGTGTAATTTAACCACATTACGCTATGACTAAATTTCTCACATCAATACTTTAAATACAAATTTGTACTTTATCGCCTCATCTATTATAGTTAAATACATTTTATAAAAAGAATTAATTTTGTTTACTTACGGCGTTCATTCCTTGAGCGTAAAATGGTACCATAGCGTGTGCAGCATCACCAATAATAAGTGCTTTACTTCCGAAATGATAAGGTTTACACTATAAATATTTTTATAATTATGCAGAAGTAAGATGCTAATGAATTTATACAAAGTATATTACAAAGTAGATACCTGAATTGAAAGAAGTGTTTTCGGAGAGGTCTGAAAAAAATCTTTAACTAATTTTTCTTCGCCAATAAGTCGAAGTCCATCTGGAAATTCCTGCCGAAAGAATTCCAGCAAATTCTCAGGCGTGTTGAGAGCTTCAAGAGTTTTAAATGGCGCAAAAAGATTACCGGTAAATGTATAATCATCGTTCGGCAACGCAATCATCATAAAATTACCTCGTGGCCAAATATGCAGATGATTACCGCTCATTATGTACTATAAATAATAAAAATATATAAATAATTATTGCTACAATATTATTAAATCCTGTTTTCTAAAACTATTTCATTTTTTTTTTTTAAACAACGCATTTTTTCCAGGTCCGTTGTTTTAGATACTTTAGCTATTTAAAGCTTAAAAAAAATTTAACTTATAAAAATAACTTAGGAATAATGAAATTATACTAATTAATATTCCTATATACTAAAAACTGCAGTTATATATATATATATATATATATATATTATATAGACTTACACATTTTTTTTATATTAATTAAAGTTATCTGACGTTATTAAACAAATTTTTTAAATATTTAAATAAAGTAAAATATCTTTAGATTATATTTAATAACTATAATATTAAATATATTAAATTAATTTATTCATTCAATTAATTTATTTATAATAAAATCATAATTGATATTACACTAATAATTTCTAAAAATACATCAAACAACTTGAGATAAATATATTTAAGAACCTCAAATAAAAGCTTATTAAATTTTACCAAGAAAACCATTTAAAAAGTCATAGAAGAATATTCATTGCAATTATGATGGCCTTTCTCAAGTATTTTAGATAATAAAAGTTTATAATTATTTTCCAATTTTAATATTATCATTAATAAAAATTCATAAATGAAGTGTTCAAATACCGTTTGAGAGCTTCAAAATACAAATAAATTTTATAATATTCCATAAGTATTATTTAATCACATATAATGAAATTTTATTGAATTAATCCACTTGTATCAAAATACTCAACGTAAACTAAAGCATAAATCACTAATTTATAAAAAAAGTAATTGTTAAAGATTTTCATGGAAACTTAATAAACTGGCGTTTATAATTCAATAACAATTTATAAACTTTAAAATCAGAATTTATACTTAATATATTAACTTTCTAAGTAAACTGATATATAAAAACTAAAAATTTTATAAAAACTGTTAGAAAGATAAATAAAAAAATTAGATTGTAAAGTAGTAATTTAGGGTAAATAATGGTTTCCAAATTACAAAATCAAATGCTTTATGAAGCATATGTACGTAATGATAGAGATATAAATTTTATACAAATTTATTAAATCTTTCAGTAACGTATTACTTTTATGAAAATATTTTTTATAATTTTAAACAATACCTTATTGTCCTTTCCTATGGGATAAGAAACTTCGACATATCCATGATCAATGTAGGCCTGATTGCAATTAAATCTAGGTTTCTTTATCATTAACCTTCTTATAAGCGAATAAGCTCCATCAGCTCCGATAATTAAATCTGATTCCACGTTACTTATTTCATCCGTTTGCATGCTTAAATAATAATATCAAAATACAATTTAAATAATCGTACTAAATAAAGAACAATACAATTATATTATTTTACTAGTACATTAATAATAGCCCATAACTTTTTGTTTGGGTTGCATTGTAAATAAGGTGTAATATAAAATAAACAAGTTTCAAATTATTATAATTAAAACTTCTGTTATTGAAAAAGTAATAATTTAAAAATATGCAGTGTAATAGTTTCGAGATCTTATTATAGTTCTTTATATTAATTTAAAGTAAGATTATTGATAATTGAATATAAAAATGTTTTAATATTTTAATTTTATTTCATCAAAATGTCACTCAATCTCTTTAATGAATGTATTTGTTTATTTACTCGCGTTTTTGCATTAATTTAACTGATAACATTAAATATTTCTTTTATTCGATGCAGACATTGAATGAAAATTTTAATATAAATTTTCTCTCAGCTGTTTTTTCTTGGAAAAATATTATATGAACTTACTGAATAAATTTTAACGCTCCTGTATCGAGATCAGCATCAAGTAATTTATGATTAAAAAATATGGTAACGTTCTCATATTTTTCAGCAGCTAAAAGTAAAAATTAAAATAATAACGACTAATAATATCTAATAAGCTAATTTTATAAATAAAGAAAAATGGAAGAATTTTCAAAAATTTAAACATTTTCTCCAAAATTTATATTACTAAGAAATACATGAAATCGTTTAATAATATAATATCGAATGAGAAATGTTAAGAAATGCAATAGAAATCGTATTGATTTCGAAAGAACTGTTATTTTAAACAAATTATACTAGTCGATACTTGAATGGTATATACGGTAATCTTTATTCTTGAAATATGATATTCTAACATTTTTGCGGCTTCACGCTGTAGATTTCCATTACTACACAACTCCACCAGAAATAGTATACTCTTACTTTTTACAATGTTCTACTAACGAGATCATATTTTGCATATTGTCATGATGAAATTGCATATTAAATTGCATTTTAGTGGGTAAGAGAATTAATAAACAAATAAGTTGTATTTTTATGCCTTTGACTTCAGCATAATGATTTTTACACAGGCTTAATGTATATTAGAAATATATGTTTATAAAATTAATTCAAGTTTCCATGAATTCCATTAATTCATAATAATGATATATTAGTTATGATTACTTATTAATGCGTCACTTATTAACTCGCATTGGGTTAAAAATTAACTTACGCACGATACAGAAATGTAAATATTTTTAAACAAAATAAAAACATTGCAATTCCATAAGTAAAATTTCTACATTTAAAATTTTATTAACAAGAAATACTTAAAAATAAATATAATTAATTTCAATAAAATTACCTGAAAGGAGAATTTGGTTCAAATATGTTCTATTAACTGAATATATGCACTGTAATTTATAAAAATACGATATTTAGTGATTTTCAGAATGATTTATATGATACATATATATATATATATATATATATATATATATAATATGTATGATAATGCATAATTATTATTAGGTGAAATTACATTTTTGTTTACGCTATCATAAATAATTTCTTTAAGGGAGCCATCTTTTAAGTGGATCATCCGTCCTTTCATTGCAATTCCATGATGATTTATAACCAAGTCTTCAAGATCTATGGCTCTCAAAGCTTCTCTTCCTCGAGCTGATAAAGCAAGATCAATACTTACACCTCGAGAGTTTTCAACACGAATATCTATCAAATTCTTAATATCAAATTATTATAATTAAAAAGTAATTTTAATAATTAACAAATAAAAAAATTTTTATAATAAACCAAGTTTTTCTTTGATAGCTATTTGCTATTTAATTGTGAAATAAAATTTTGAATTTTTATATATTATTATACAATGTATTGGTATCAAATTTTTTCATGAATTTATTAAATTTTATATTATCAATTTTTTCTAATATGTAAGAATATTATTTAGTTAAAAATATAAAACACAGCAATAAATTATAAATAAAAATAAAGCATAATAACAAATTTATATATTTAATTGTTGAAAATTCTTTAATATTCTAATGGAAATTTGATATTACCGATTTAAAACTATTTCAAGGATAATTTACATTTAAAATTGAATGAAAATTTGAAAAAATTTAGTATTCTTAAATAATAATATAATTACAGAGTTACCTGGACGATATTCGTATAAGTTTACTCGATGGCCACGTTTAGCGAGGAAGCATGTTACGAGAGCTCCAACCTGTACATTTTTAATTCGATAATCAATCATTAATTATTTTTAAATTGTAATAGGCTTAGCGGAGCATTTATAAAAATAATCAATTAGAAATTATAAAACATATAAAAGTGTGAAATTGTGTAAAATGTTAATGTGCTTAATGTCAACGTGATTTGTCACATTTTTCATTTAACATATAAAATTTACATGACATTAAGTTGCCACTGTCAAATTACTCCCATACAATAAGAGATTATAAAACTGGATTATCTTTAGATAAGCAGAATAACCGACCAAACCACCTCCAACTACAGCAACGTTCAAGGTCCGAACTTCGCTCCCCATGGTGTCTCTAACTCAACTGATGAGATTATCGAACGAAGTAAATGCAACAGAACGAGAACGGAGACATTACACACTTACCATTACTAATGCATGAAAAAAAAATGAAAAAAAATTGATTTATTACGAGCAAGTGTACATAAATGAAATGATGTGAAATCTTATATTCTTTTAACCTCGTTTAACTAATTGTTATTTATGAAGAACTATTAATTATAATTATTAAAAAATGATCATAAACGAATTTAAAGGGTTAGTTAAAATGTAATGGTGTAAAATAATTTACATTCATAGAATAACATTACTTTAGCATATAATTTAACATTATTTTATCATTAATAGACAATTTGAAATATAATTGTCTTGTATAAAATTATTCGAACACCAATTGTATTTTGTGAAAAATAGTGAGAAAATTTATAAAGTATTATTTATTAATATTTAAAGTGATTTTAATATTTATTATTTACTAATTTAGAAATGTATTCGATTAAATTATTTAAAGAATACTTTCACCAAAGAGATAAATAACGCTACTGCATTTCATATATATTTAATTGTCAATAACTGTTATTGGATATATTGGCATATAAAAATTTTAATTTATATAATACATACATATAATTAAATGCAGGCTTAATTTACTGAATCAATTACTAAGTAATTGTAAAAATATTTTATGTAAAATTAACATTTTTTTTTTTTGCTTTATAAAGTTAGTTATATATATGTGATTTAACGTGCTCCTTCTTCCATTGAACTAAGCTTTTCCATTCTAAAATTAATAAAATCCGAAATACACATAAACTTTGCAAAACTATTCTTCAACTGCGATTCAGTTAATTTGCAAATTTATTAGTGGTATCGGTGCTCAGACATTGGTTGTTGATTTCTTTTATAAAGATCCATATTTCTTTCTAAAAGTATCTTCACGGTTATTTACAGATGTAACATCAACTATAAACATCGTGAAACTTAATGTGTTTATAAATGAAGCCGATGATTGTTATGATGAAGAGGTTTTGAAAATAATTAGAAAATATTTTGGTACTTATTCCGGTTGTACAGAACTTTATTGTTATATCGGATATAATAGTCAATTTTTTTTTATAAAAACAGAATCTTTTTGAATAACGTATATTATATAATAATTTAATCAGTTTATTAGTTACTTATATATTGGGATTCTTCGTTCAGTTAAAAATCACTTCTAATTTTATTTTTTTTTTTTTTATTATTTCCTTTTTATTTGCAAGGAAACAATCATGTTGCTATAAATTATGTCTGTTCGTAACAATATTTTGATACCTGTAAGATGCAAATATGTTTGTAAATATGCTTTTAATACTAATATATATAAAATCAACAACAACAAAAAACTAATGCAATATAACTGATTGGCAATCATTTCTTCATCGTCCAAAATATGTAATTTCATTTGAATTTAATAATTGAGTAAATATCAATTCACTGTAAATTTAATAAATCTTCCAAGTCACTGATTGGAGCCTGTGTATGTTAAAAATTGCAGGTTTAGTAGATATGAAAATGAAGAAAAAATACGAATGAATTAGTAGCATAGTAGTGTTATAAAACATGGAAGCAACGGTGAAACCGTGACAAGTGAATGCGCTAATAGAAATATCGCTGATGGTTATTGTTGTATTACGAAAAGGACGAGAAGATAATGGCTATGTCAGACAGTCAATGAACAATCATCGCTGGTGCTGAAACTTTCGGTCTTCAAGGCGATAAGTGGATGCCGGGATCGATGCCTTCTACAAAATGTGTAGCGTCGAGCGCAAGCAAGAGCCGGTCGATGAGCTTCCTCGAGGAGGGCCCGACGGCGAAGGCTCTCATCACTTTGAATGGTTAGAGCTGTCGCCGCGTCGAGGCAGGGTAAAACCTATTGGCTGATCGGTAGACGAGCTGAGGCGAGACGTTGGCATCCGGATCCAAGAGCGGACACAGTAGGCAGGGTCGTCCGCGGCATCGGCGGGGTTCGCAGTCGCGGCAGCTCTTCTCGACCGAAAATAACTCCGCGATCGAGCGTCACTCGCCGGCAGTCGGGAAGGCGAGCCTAGGTGCTGCCAGTAGTCAGTGCGGCGATGTCGACGACGAACGACGCTTCGAGGGGGCAGCAGCACCAGCGCCGGCGATGCTGCGTCGCCCTGCTGCTGCTCCTGCTGACGTTGCTCGGTGCCGGGCCGTCGGGGCCGGCGGCGGTGGCCGGGGCCCGTGCCCCCGTCTCCGCGAAGGAGTCCAGCACGACGTACAAGGAACAGCACTCGTCCAGCCACGGCAAGCCCAAAGACGAGCCCGTCATCGAGGAAGTTACCAGCAAGCAACTCGAGCGGCTACTCAAGGAGAAGGACTTTGTCGCCGTTTACTGGTGTAAGTGCGTACGATTGTAGGGCCTGTCATGACGAGGCTAGGGTCGCCAAATGATAGCCGAGGCTCGAAGTGCGGAACAAGGAGTCCCTTCTCTGTCTCACTCGCTCGGTCTTTTTCCACTGCTGTCGCTGCCCAAATTGCCACTCCCGCCGAGTCGTCGCCGCCCGTCAGCCGTCTATCGCGTAGCCCCTAAAAATAGGCCCCTCTGCATGCAAAAAGTCCTGGCTCGTTTTTATCCGAGTTGCGCTTGGCGTCTGTAAAGTGCAAATTTTTACGCTCTTCTTCCGACCCCCCCCCCACCCACCCCAATAACCCACCACCGCCACATTGTCTTTTCATCGCTGAAAATCCCAACGTTACACGCATCGACGAAAACAGCGAAGCAACCCGGATGCCCGTTTATGCGTCGGCCTTCTCTCCTTAAATTCCAACGCCACCCGATGCCCCAAAGATTAATGAAGACTATCCATACCCACGGAGTTGAGATGGATTTGGGAGCAAATATTTCCTCACTAGATGCTCGACTTTCAAGGATAAACTTCGACTTTGAGTATCTTCTCATTCAGTCGTCATATCATGAGACAATTTTTTGATCTTCGCGGGTGACTTGATCGGAAATATCTTTCTGCGCTAATAAATGAACGTACAAAGTTGTGTCGTCCTGACAATAATTAACGTCTCCAATTTTTATTAGGTCTCGTGTGAAAAAATTACTCACTAAAAGATAAAGGCTTAGCATTGAAATTCTCATTTTAATATAACTATTACATAGCGTATTTTTAAAGTGTGTGCGAGTTAAATTTAATTTTGACAAAGTGGAAAAGAAAATTCTTTCCAAACTTGCGACTGGCGCTGTTTCTTACACAAGAATTTAGAGTTATTGTGTATGCGTTACTTTTCGCGTGTATATGTGCCTACGTGCGTGCATACGAGCGTATTCATACACAGACGTGTCATCTTATATTATCTCTTAACGATGGATCTTACTAGCAATCGCTATTTCAAGCTGATTAAAAAAAAACAATAATAATAATAATTAAAAAAACAAAAAAAATAGATATTTATCCAAACACTTTTCACTGCTTTTTGTTTCTTATAAAACTATCATTTTTCCTTAACATGCAATTACTCTCGTTGGATTTATTTTTTCTGTTCAAGTGCATAGATTGCTTTGCTTTTGGAAAACTATTAAAATTAAATATTATTATCATATTGATTATACAAAAAGCTTTGCATAATATCTAAATGGTGATTGTCTGTACATAGTGTCAAACTTAGTCTTTTTATAAAAAAATTAAAAATACAGTATTTGTGAAAATATCTACTTGAGAGATAAGTTGTTAAGCTCTTTAACGACGATAAAAAAATTAATAAAAAAAAATGGATAATTCCATTTTTTATGGATAATTAATGGAAAAAAATGGAAATAATAATAACGATAATAAAATTAATAATAATAATCATGAAAGTTTGATTTGTAAATAACGAACATGACCAATCGCTAAAGGAAGATATCCAAATTCGTATTTAGTGAATGTCTCGCGCAGGCGGAAATGATGATATTCGAGGATGAGAAGTTAGGATGATAGTATTGTATATAATGATAGGATTGTAAAGTGTTTAAATTTCAAAAAAGCAGCACTCAAGACAAAATAACGATCACAACCAATGACCATGGCTGAGAGCGATCCATCACGGCTGCGGCCAAATCAAATTTTGATGACGAGGTGAACTAGGTGCCCTCGTGCTGGCAAACAGCCGTAGCACTTAGTGAGGATATTCCCTGTCAGCGCAATCAAAAAGCATTCTTCCATCCTGGCATCCCCAGTTTATCCACCCATTATTATTAATACGACTGGGTTCTAACCCTAAATTTTTTATCCTTAAATAAGCATTTCAAGGTCATTGATATATTTGTATTATTAATCATTTTGAACTAGAAGATCTGGGCAAGCACGATGATTCGAAAATGACTTAAATGTCTTTTTAACGCAAAAATACTTATAAATATATATATATATATATTATAATATAAGTTGCAATACAAGTGTCCCTTTGTCTTTATTTGTAATAAATAAAATAATAATTTGTAAATTTATTTGTAATAAATTGTCGCTTTAACATTGAAACGAACTCTTGGTTAAATATTGAAGAAGCGCTATTAATTTGTCAAAATACATTCAGAAAATTCCAATTATATTTTTCTTTTTTTAAAAAAAATTATGATGTTAGAGTACTTGTTATAACCCGTTTTTTATTCTACGTCTTAGAAGATTGACCTTATTATATTAATCAAATTTTATTTAATTAATATTAATTTTGTTCCAATTACAATATTTCTTACATGAAATAGGTTATAAATAAGATAAAAAAGAAAATAAAAGTTGGCCACGGATTTAGAAATATAATCGATTTATATACATTTCAAATTTTTAGGAAACATAATACAATACAGTAATTGAGCAAATAACTGAAATTGAATTATTTTCAATTTATGTTATTTTTATTCTAAATATTATCTACTTTTTAATAAAGTAAGCTTTACCATATTACTTTCAAAACTCTATTAAACAAAAAACAGATGAGGTATCTTATTAATTATTAATTTATTTAATAATGCCGGAATTAAGTTAAATTTTTTATTTAATATAACGAAAAGTATGAAAATCACATGTAACATGTAAATTCTACTCGTGTATACAGTCTTTTAATATTCGTAATATATTGATAAAGTTTACTAGAAATACTTCGCAATTAAGTGTGAAAATTAAAAATACTTTTGATAAAATCAATAAACTATTAATCGGTAGCATTTATAATTTATTTAATAAGTACTATAATATATGTATGTATGTGTGCGCGTGTGTGCGTGTGTGCGTGTGTATTATTGCGTGCGTGCGTGTGTGTGTGTGTGTGTGTGGGTGTGTGCGTGCGTGTGTGTGTGTGTGTGTATGTGTGTGTGTGGGTGGGTGTGTGTAAAATAATTAAATACTAAATGATTTCAAATCTATGAATTATAATATTAATTATAATGTTTCCAATTAATATAATAGAGCTTCGGATATATCGATAGAATATAGTTATATTAATTAGATTAATTAGATTAATTAGATTAAAAGACAGAAAAGCATTTATAGAGTTTTTTTATAATATTTGTATTATGATGAAGTCTTAATTGCACTTTTGTTGTATCAAGTACTAGTTGAAGTAAATGATAAAAATAATATTTATACAAAATGTAATATAATTAAAAGGGTAACATATTTTTGTGTTCTCGAACGTAATAGGAATTACTATTCCGATAATTTACTATATATTACAAGTAATTATTTATAAGATTTGCAAGAATTAATAGTAATATTTATTATATATAATTTATTACATAATTGTTATAAAACAATTGTTATCATACTTATTATAAATTTATTTCAAATATCTACTTTAATATGCATAGTAATTTTCGTGATGATTATTTCACTAACTCAGTAAATATGCTTTATTAATTTTTGTTTATATTGCTAAAAAATACATACTTATTTCTATTATATAAAATTTTCTAATATTTTTACACATACTTATATGAATATTCAAAACGCTTTCATTTTATATTATATTTTTAGCACTCGGAATAGATGTATGTGAAAGGAGCGTTGGCATAAATTTTTAAATAAAATTAGTTCATAGTTATCAAATTATTTACGTTTTAATCTTCGGATAAAAATATTTAGATATTTTTCGCACACCTTGAAAAGAAAGTTTTAATGAAAAGATTAAATAATCGATGGAATGAAATATTTTGTCATATTAATAATTTAATTTATAGATGAATAACTATAAGTGTAAATTATACAATTTCTTATTAAATTTGAATGATTCTTGTAGGCATATTAAAAGAAAATATAATTGTATATATATTTAATCTGAACAAAATTTCATTTACGAACGATCTACATTTCACAGCAATAAAATTAATTATATAATAAAATTTCAAATATACGCTTACATATGGTAATTAATTTAATTTCTAAATCCTTATCTATTTGCGAAATTTGTTATTTAAAATTCAGTTTTTTAAATGGAAATAATTTTGAGAAGAAAATATATAATGTAATTATATAATTTCATATAAATATCTCAATATGATTTTGTAATAATTACAATAATTGATCAAAATATAGATTATCTATATATATATATAATATATATAACTTTTGATATTTTTTGTTATTTTTTTTTTCATTAATATATCTCAAAACCTTTTTAATTTAATTAACGATGAAGTATAATTAATAAATATTTATTCAACCTATACAATGCAGTGAATCTTCGTAATAATATAATTATGAACATTATAATAATCAATATTATCCAATCATTGGTATCAATTGATCTGCTTTACTCTTAAATGATTATCTTTGTTACTAAAATAATTGAATACTCATAGTATTTTATCAAAGCATATATTTATAATTGATAGTTGCAAATCAAATGTAAAAAATAATATTTATACAAATTTAAAAGAAAGTATATAAGCTACGTTTAATAAATTTGTGTTTAAATAGCTTCGCTTAAGCCTCAATTAACAAATGAGCATATTATGAATTTCTTTTGAATCCTAACGACAGAGTAAAATTAATTGTAAGAAAACAAAATATATGTTAAAAGAGACCGAGGCTGTGATTTGGTCTCAAACGAATCTTCGAAACTGCCTTGTAGCCCACTAACGACGTGATTCTCGGCGCGGCTTTTAGTCGCCGCCACTTTTAGAAAGCCGTAGAGTTATTTTGGCCCAAGCATCGCCACCTCGCACTACCGACTCGCCTGAAATCTCTTCTGACAAACTACCTACTTATTTTCCGTGCAGACCTGCGTCTCACCTGATTTCTGTTTCATACGTCACGAAATTATCGACGATTATCTTCTTTACATCTTATTTCCAAAGTCATTGAGAAAGAAAAAAAAAAAATATATATATATATATATATATATATATATATAGA